TAATAATAATAATAATAATAATAATTTATAACATTATTTAAAAACACAAAAAGTAGATAATCATGATTTTACAGCTTAAGTTTTTAAAAAATTTATGTAATAATATATCTAATTTTAAAATGTATAGAATAATTTGTTTAACATTAGTTAATTGAATAAAAAGGTTTAGCAATATAAAAAAATTTTGTTTATAATATTTTTTTGAAGATTAAGAAAAATGATGTAGTAATTTTTAAGACATATGATTAAATATTATGATTTGGTAATGGTTATTAAGTAATATTTTATTTGAATATTACCTAATTTCTAATTTGAGAAATTAGAATGATATTAGATGTAAATATTCGAATGTTTGGAGTTGGATTTTGTGAATTTTGATTAGGAAAAAATAAAGGAGTTTAGAATAGAGAGATGATTCTAAATATGAATAATAAAAAGAAAATGAGTATTACATATTAATATTAAAATGTCTGATAAATAAAAAGAATATAAGGCTTGCTGGTAGTAAGCAGTAGATGCAGCAGAGAAAGAATTAGAATAGATTTATAGTTAGTTCATATAGTGTGATTATGAATTATAAAAAGAGAATTCATAAAATAAGAATGAATAGGAGTAATGAGGTCGATTTAATAATAGGATAAGAGATTAGGATTAGAATGAACGATATGGTTTAGATAATAACAGCGATGGAGAAGAGGACTAATAAGATTAGATAGGGTAATAATCAAATATAGCAACATCAACAACAAAGGAAGATTTTGTAGTGAATTAAGAGATTAAAAGGGAATTAATAAGAGAAGTACCATTTAAAGATGAAATTCTATATATATACAGAATAAACTATTAGAATGGAGATATTTATGAAGGAGAGTTATTAAATGATTTAAAAGATGGATTAGGTACTTATTATTATGAGAATGGTGAAAAATATGATGGATTATTTTCTGATGATCTTATTCATGGTTATGGAAAATATTATTTTATTGGAGGTCATAAATATGAAGGAGATTGGTATTAAGGTGAGAAATCTGGAATGGGTATTTTAGATTTTAGTACAGGAGATAGATATATAGGAGAATTTTACAAAGATGCATTTGATGGCGATGGTAAATTTATATATATATGAGTAATAAATAGGAACTTTAGAATATAAAAATGGAGATGTGTTTAAAGGGAAATGGAAAAAAGGAAAAAAGAATGGAAATGGAGAAATGAGATATAAAGATAAAAGAATTGTTATAGGGGAATGGATTGATGATGAATTATAATAATTTTGATATATTATTATTATTTACTATCAGATTTGGAATCAAATTCTTTTCTTTATATCTAGAATTAATTCATTATTAAGTTCATATGTTTCAGATTTAATCTTTTTATGAATCTAATATTGGTTATCAATTTTCTTATTTTTTTATTTATTTAACCTAATAATTAAAGCAATGTTACTGTTGCAACATAATTAAGTAAATTTAGAGATTACAATTCTTTCTGAATACCGAATCCTAATGGAGTAAAATTATTATTGTTTAAAATATTAAGATTACAATTTCTATTAATAAATTCTATTATTATTGATTAATTTCCTGATAAAAAAGCCATATGAACAGGGGTGTTTCCGTTTGAACATATTTCTTTATATCTGCTCCTATTTTTAATAAGAATTTTGTCATCTATTCATCACCATACTTGGCACTATAATATAAAGGAGTGTTTCCATTTTAATCATATAATTCTGTATCTGCTTTATTATAATGAAATTCTGCTGCTTCAGCAATTGCAATATTCTTAGTTTTAATTTTAGCTGCTTAAATTAATTTTCTATTTTTAATTTTAGTTTCACCATCCAGCCTTGATCTAATAAACCTATTTAGTAATTTTTATCTCTATTTTTAATTTGTTTCTCTTTTCTAACTAGCATATTACAATATAAATATTTATTTACTTAATTAATAATATGACTATTGATATTCCAGTGCTCTTATCTCTACTCATTCGATTCATTTAAGGAAATGTAGGAGTTGAACCAGGTGATTGCCTAATATTTAAATTTTAATGATTTAGGTTTAATAGATTTTTTTTATGAGCTTCTCAAATAACTTGCATAAATCTTCAATTTTATTTTATCTAATCTAAATTGTGTTTCTTCTTTTTAAATATCTAGAAGAGTTTTAGTTTTAGATTACAGCAAAGCGTTCTTCAATATATTCTTATGACATAAGATTATTATATTCTTTATTGTCATTGTCTGTATAATTTTAAGCAGAAAAACGTTTAGTTTTCATGATGTAAATATAAAAATTATAATAGTTACAAGAGATATAAACTTATTAGAAATTTAATTAAATAAATTAATGTTTAATAATATATTACCAAAACACAAATAAAATAAAGAATAGGAATCAAATATGGGATTCTTTGGATAAGATTGTAAGATTTAATAAAGTAAGTAAATGAAAAAATTAAAAATTGATGTAAAATGCATGTTAAACTAAGAATTATTAGTGATGAAACCAAATAAAATAGGTAATGTTAAAAATGTAAAAATAGATTAATAAATTCCAGATGTAAAGATTGAATATTGCATATATGTTGATAGAAAGTAAAAATAATGATAATAAAAAAGATATTTAAAGGAGATTTAAGCATTATAAGAAATTTATAATTAAGAAGAAGATGTTGTGTAATTAATAGCAGTTTGTTCGCTTGGAATAAAAATACCTAATGATTAAGATTTTCATTTCTTTTTTGAATGTTTTGATCTTCTGAATCAAAACTAAGCAAACTTTAGATAGTTTATTAATAATAAACCATAAAAACAATTATAAAGATTGTTGATTTGTTCAATAATTATGAAGGTATAAAAAATGACTGATTTAATAATTTCCTTATATTTGGATTTGAATCTTTATGTTCTGATGCAATTAACATTAATTACAATTCAATATGAAAGCACAGAATATTCATAATACTTTTATTCGTATATATACAATTAATATTAGTTTATTGATTTAATACTTCTAATTCTAAGCTGGTATATATTAAAAGTAGATTACTGACCCTAATTTATAGAAAATAATAATGAATGTTGCTCAGGTGCAATTATAATTATTAAAAGAAGATATTCTCTTAATTATTTGGGGATAAAAATAAATGTAGATAGGAACGCTGTTTTTTAAGAGTATGTATAAGAAAATAGAGAATCGTAAGAAACCTTTTTTATAGCCACTTTAGAAATACTAATTTTATAAAACATCAAGAAAAAGAACAACAACTTCTGCAAATACTGACTATCCTCATTATTATTAGTTGTTAGATGAAGCTTAAGGAAAATAATATTTATTGGCTTATCAAGAATCTCCTCATAGTGAGATATTAATATTTGAAAAAGATGTATTATATTTTAATAAAAATATTGTAGTAATTATAATATATTAAATATTCAGAAGAATATGTAGGAGTAATTGAAAGAAACTTTTGGGGAACATAATTTCATATTTATGATTTTGGATATCCAAAAGAAGTTAGTGGAAAGATTCCAAAATATTTTGGATAAGAAAGAAGAGAATTAGTTGTTATATAATATTAAACTAATATTATGGCAACTTAACCTAGGTAATATTCTATTTTATAATAGAAAATTTACTGCAAGTATGTTAAATTTGATAAACAATTAAATTTTATAATTAGCATAAATGGATCCAATTTATAATGAAGAAAAAGAATGTTATTAATTGAATTTCTTTGGAAGAGCTAAAAGAGCATCAGCTAGAAACTTTGAAATTATAGATCCTTAAGATAATAATATTATTTATTTATTACATGGAAAAGTAAATATTATTATAAATAAGCAAGTGGGAAAAAAATCTATTTAATGTTGATTATAGATATCCTATGAGTATGCTCTAAGCTTTTAGTTTTTCTTTAAGTTCAATAAGTAAGAAATTTTTGGTTCAATGAAATTAAAAATGTATATTTCAAATTATATAAATAGAAATATATAAAGATTATAAAAATTTGCATTTTTAATTAATTAAGTTCAGCCCAAAATTGATGCCTCTTAGACTTCCAGTTATTTATTTACATTCTTTTATACTTTCAAAATTTAATTAATTGTCTAAAATTCAAATTTAGTTTATAATTACTTTTCTGCATAGATAACATTCATTAGATTTTTATATTACATCTTCTGCACATTATTAACAGATGCCTCCATGACGACATGGTACAAAAACAATATTTGGAATATTTTCATAACAAACAAGACATTTGTCTTAATTAACACTAGATTCTCCATCTGATTTAATAGATTTAATAGATTTAATAGGTTCATCTTCTTATTCTTATTTTGAAACAGTTGCTGGTATTTCTTCTCTTTTTATTTTTACTATAATATATTATTATGTTTAAATACTATTATCAGTAATGGCAGGTTTTTATATATCTAAATCAATTTCATTCTTTTTTTTATTAATAATCATAGAATTGCTAGTTACAGGTTTTTAAAGTATTTTTTTCCATGTTTCTCTCATAGTAGATCCTTATATATTAGATCGTCCTGACTCTAATTCTTAATGAGAATTTTATTTTTTTTTAAATTCAAAAGCAGCTTTATCAAGAACTGCAAAATAAGTACAAGATAATTTAATTAAATATAAAGGGATTCCTAATTTAACAAATTCTAATTTTTTAGGTTAATGTGGAGAATTAAGTTATCTAGAATTAGGTGATTATACTGTTTATTATTAATCATTTTCATTTTAATCAGTTATTCCTTAAACATCTTTCAAGTAAGCTCTAAAATAATATTAATAAAAATAATAAATTACTTAATTTATTTATAGAAACAGAGAGTGAAAATGAGAAGAAATAAAGAAAATAAAATTATAATGACAATATATTTAGCAGTTTCGGTTAGACTAATTAATTGATTACCCTCATAAAATTCAGCAGTTCTCAAAATGAATAAAAAAGGAAAAAGTGAAAATCCTATTAACATAATTAATATCCATAAATTGCCTGCCACTAAAAAAATAAATAAAAAAATACAGTAATGACATTGTTATTTCTTTTTGATAATATTCACTAAAGTTTCAATACAACTAACTAATGAAATAAATAATAATAATGCACAAACAACTAGGAATACCCATAATAATAGAAATATTTAAATCCATGACCAAGAAATCTTTGATTCCCATTTAAGTGTTATTAATAGTAATTAAAGACAACACATAGTTTTTAGAAATTATAATATCTTATATAAATATTTAAATTTACTAATGCAGTACTAGTTTTAGTTGGAGTCTTAATTTTTTGTACTAATTTCATTATTAAAAGTAATGATGAAACTGCTAACATCATAATTGTTATGAAATAGATTTTAAAAGTTTATACTTCATAGTAGAATACAATGAATATCTATTAAAATGTATAATATACTTTAAAAAAGAATAAAAACATAGTTTCTATAAGTTACCAAATACAATCATCTCCTTTTCTATAATTATAGTATATCAAAATAAATATTGTTATTAAGTCTTATATCCATAATTACAAGAGTACATAACGATGACTATATTTCCAATGCATATAAGTAAAATAATTAACAAAAAATGCTTGTAAAAATAGATTGAACATAAGAGACTTTATCATTTAAGCATGACATGAAATTACCTAATTTGTATTTTGAATACCTTTTCATCTGTAAGTGTAATAATACTGTTTGAATAATCTTGTTCTCTATTTTACGCTTATCTCGATTGTCTATTTTCATTTTAAAACTGCATACAATTCCCTAAAAAGGGGTAGATTTTAACTAAATGTTGGAGATAAAAAATTTCGTCTTCTACTTGAAGCTTATTAATCATCATCAATCTGGATTTATGAAGGTCTCATTCTAACTGATCCCAATTATGATTCTGGCATTTAGCTATCATTCAAAATAATTTTACATCATAGTTTTTGAGATTATATACTATATTAATCAATATAAATTCAAAATTATTAAAGTTATTTCTTATTCTCCTTCTTAATGAAATCTTCAAAACCATTTATCATCATTTTTGTTTAAGCAACATTTTCATTTCTATCCATTAACTCATAAAATCTAGAATTAAAAATTACTAAAATTTTCTTATGAATCCTTAAGCAACTTTGCCTATTCAACGTTTAATCATGTTATTAGAATTTTCCTTTAATTTGCTCTTAAAGATAAGAACATCAATAAACCTTTTTTAAGTAGTTACTTTTGTTCATGTATCTTTTTTTTTATCAAATTTAAAATCTTTTATCACCATTCCTTCTATTTCTAATCTTAATTTTTCTTACATTTCTAACTATTCCTCCATATTTTTGTCTATTCTTTTATTATATGATTTCTTATGTTTAGAATCTTCCTTTCGATAACTATAATTATTTATGAATTTTTTTGACTCTATTATAATCAGTTAAACAATAGCATTTACTTGAACTTATTGTCTTTTGTTGTTACTGATTATTTTTCACTTTCTTTTAGTTTAGTTCTAAAAATATTTTTCTCTATAGGATTATATATATAAATGTNTTAAAAAAGAATAAAAACATAGTTTCTATAAGTTACCAAATACAATCATCTCCTTTTCTATAATTATAGTATATCAAAATAAATATTGTTATTAAGTCTTATATCCATAATTACAAGAGTACATAACGATGACTATATTTCCAATGCATATAAGTAAAATAATTAACAAAAAATGCTTGTAAAAATAGATTGAACATAAGAGACTTTATCATTTAAGCATGACATGAAATTACCTAATTTGTATTTTGAATACCTTTTCATCTGTAAGTGTAATAATACTGTTTGAATAATCTTGTTCTCTATTTTACGCTTATCTCGATTGTCTATTTTCATTTTAAAACTGCATACAATTCCCTAAAAAGGGGTAGATTTTAACTAAATGTTGGAGATAAAAAATTTCGTCTTCTACTTGAAGCTTATTAATCATCATCAATCTGGATTTATGAAGGTCTCATTCTAACTGATCCCAATTATGATTCTGGCATTTAGCTATCATTCAAAATAATTTTACATCATAGTTTTTGAGATTATATACTATATTAATCAATATAAATTCAAAATTATTAAAGTTATTTCTTATTCTCCTTCTTAATGAAATCTTCAAAACCATTTATCATCATTTTTGTTTAAGCAACATTTTCATTTCTATCCATTAACTCATAAAATCTAGAATTAAAAATTACTAAAATTTTCTTATGAATCCTTAAGCAACTTTGCCTATTCAACGTTTAATCATGTTATTAGAATTTTCCTTTAATTTGCTCTTAAAGATAAGAACATCAATAAACCTTTTTTAAGTAGTTACTTTTGTTCATGTATCTTTTTTTTTATCAAATTTAAAATCTTTTATCACCATTCCTTCTATTTCTAATCTTAATTTTTCTTACATTTCTAACTATTCCTCCATATTTTTGTCTATTCTTTTATTATATGATTTCTTATGTTTAGAATCTTCCTTTCGATAACTATAATTATTTATGAATTTTTTTGACTCTATTATAATCAGTTAAACAATAGCATTTACTTGAACTTATTGTCTTTTGTTGTTACTGATTATTTTTCACTTTCTTTTAGTTTAGTTCTAAAAATATTTTTCTCTATAGGATTATATATATAAATGTAATATAGCAGAAGCTGTTAAAATAAATTGAATATAAATTTATTTTCATAAATTTTCAAACCATAATCGTAAACCATTTAATCTTTATATTATTATTCTTTATGTTTAGACAAATATTAAAAAATAAATTAAACATGTCATTTTAAATAAATATTATTTAATTATTTGGATAAGTGTAAGATTTATTCTTTCATAAGAATGAGATATCCTTTCACCTTTGATTTTATTATAAAATAATAATTTTAAAATTAAACATCAGATCTAATATATAGTATTAAGTTTAATATTATTTGTAATATCTATTCATATCCCTCATAAAATGTTTGTAAATTCAAATAGATACTTTTAATATTGATTATAAAAATCAGCTAATTTTCTTATTTAATTGAATTTTAATTTTGATATTTGCCATAATTTAATTAAATTCTTTGGTCTAATTGTTCATAATGTGTGTTAGAGGATGACTGATTTAAGATTGAAATGGTAATTTAATGATTATAATATATAATTAGTAAAAATAATAAAATAAATTAATTATATTTATATGAGTATTTTTGAGAATAGTTTGAATTTGTTATCTCAATTTGATAATAATATAATTAATGATTAAAGGGGTAGATAAAGGTTATAAATTACCATAAAGTAAAAGTGATGATATATTGTTTGTTCATGGAGTAGACTAAGAAAAGCAATAAACTTTTAGAGAGTCATAGATTAGAAAAAGCAGTTTACATGATTGTGTAATATAGATACCAAAGTAATAATAAAATAGAAGGAACTCACATAATTCAATAACATTTAAAGATGAAAATAAAAAATTAAAGTTACTGTATGTATTTATATTTAAAATTGCAGTCATACTAAGAAAAGAATTCTAACCTAGATTGCTTAATATGGATATAATGCTTATATGGCAGAATATATAATATAGAAACAAAAGATTTCATTAGAATAAGATTATTAGATAGTTTTAGATTAAGTGATTGATAAAATAAATTAGTTTGAAGAATAATATAAATCTTGTGTTGGATTAAATAAATAGAAATATAATGTGAAATAAGTAATTCCAATATAAATAGATGAATAATAATAAATAGATTAATTTATAGTAGAAGAAACAAGATAGGTGAATGTTAGTAATATAAGAGATAAAATTGATTATTGTGGTATTTGTTTAGGAGAGTACTAAGATAAATAAAAGGCATTGAATTGCAGACATGAATTTTGTAAATAATGTTTATAGAATTATTTGGATAATAAAATAAATAATGGTTAAGTTTTAGAGATAGAATGTCCATAATAAAAATGTGATAATTATTTTAATGATGAAATAATAAAGAGTTTAGTAAATGATGAATAATATCAGAAATATGAAAAATTTAAGAGATAAAAATTATTAGATAGAGATGAGACAGTTAGATGGTGTGTAAGACCTGGATGTGATAAATATATTAAAGGTAAAAGTTTATTAAGTAATACTGTAAAATGCGAATGTGGATAGGAGATATGTTATGAATGTCGTAGAGAAGATCATCCAGGTATGACATGTGAAGTATTAATATTAATAAGAATTAGGAAGCATTAGATAAATATTATGAATAAACATTAAAATAATTAGTAATTTAACGTTGTCCTAAATGTAAAGCACCAATTCAAAAAAAGGAAGGATGTAATCATATGACATGTTATTAATGTCGATTTTAATTTTGTTGGTTATGTAAAGCTAGATATACAAGAATGCATTATGATTCTGATAATTGCTTTGGATGTCCAGGTATATATTATTATAATTAAAATTTATTAAAAGATAAATAATTTTCAAATGATGATCCACATCCAAGACCTAGATGGAAAAAATATGGAGGTATAATATTTGAATTATTTGCCACGATATTAATTGTACCAATAATTCCATTTATCTTAATATATTATAGTGTAATGGCTCCTTTAAAATTATTAAAACATTTCAATAGATAATATTATAGATAAATGGAAGATGGCGATAAATTATGTTTACTCTTAGTAGGAATATTCTTTTTCCCATTGATTATGGTATTTCTAATATGTCCAGGATTATTGTTTTTGTTGGCATATAAAATAAAATATGATTGATTATAATTAAATTGTACTCACATCAAAATATTGTTTGTTTTTAGCTATGATCTTATAATAATAATAATTATCAAAAAAGGAAATGTTAAAATTAACAGAAATTATGGATTCGACTTGCAATTTTTGTGAGTATCAATATGTACATAATTCACTAAATTAGGACTTCGCAGTCATAATAAAAAAAGCTTTATATGAGAAATATTCCTCATCACAGAATTATACTTATATTAGGATAATCAACGATCTAATATTTGCTCGTAGAAGTCGTATTACAAATACATTTAAAGATTATCTCTTTTGGGATTATCATGATGAATATATGGAGAATTACTTCCATTCTCCTAATGATATATTATATGATACAATCATATCCAATGTATTACTTCTAACTTAAAATAGACCAACAGTCTCATAAATTTGTGCCCCGCATATTTCATACACCTATTGCTAAAACCATGGATAATTACTACCATCCTAAAATTAGATAATCTCGAAAATACTCTAATATCAATTCCATTAGCGTTTCTAAAATTCTATAGAGTAGTCTCATTAAATAGTATTATATACATTTACTTATTACTAGATAATAGTAATTCAGTTCATAAGGAAGTATCTTTTTTATCAAAAATCAACTTAATGATATTGTTACCAATAGTTCATTATCATTTCATACCATTAATAAGTAATTATAACTTATTTATAAAACTATTAGTAAATAAGATGTTGCCCTTTAACTTAGATTAATTTACTAAAAATTTTGTGATAGAAGATAAGAAACAAAAAAATTGAAATTCAAAAAAAAAAGTTTAGCACATTCTATTGATAAAGAAACTTAAACTCAACCATTTCAATATATACCTATCATCTATCATAAAGATAAATAATTTCTATAAAAAATTATCAAATAACAAAAAGAAAAAGAAGCAACATAAGTTTAGTTTCAAAAATTTAACAAACTTAATAAAACTTCAAGATGTAGAAATAGTGTTGAAATTCATAATAATAGATATGGTTCTGCATCTAAAATATCATAATAATCAACTGCTAGAGTTTATGAATCAAATGCATCCAGTAGATATAATTCGACTGCAACTTAATAAAAACTTATTCGATCATAACGTACTAAATCTTAAACTTAAGATTCAAATAACATAACTAAAGCATTAGAAAGTTAATTTAATAATCAAGTTGATGTTAGATAAACATTAAAGAAATTTGATAGTGGCATAAAATAAAAAAAAGTTAAATGAACTTTCTTTTATATTTTTCATTATATCTATATAACATAAGAATATAATATAATATCTTGAGATGATTGTTTCTATTGGAATACTTATGATTGAAAGGATATGGATTATATTTGTTGAATATAATACTATAATTACAATATTAAAAATAGAAAATGCAGTAAGCATCTTAACAATAATAAAGTTCATGGTCAAATAATGAAGAAGTAACTGTACTATAATTTAGAATGACTTAGAATAAAATGCAGATGGAAATTTAAACAAACATTAAGAAGGATCACGAAAAAAGAAGAAACAAGATGAACATAAATAATTTGAGGAAAGATTGAAAAATATTCCTATGAGCTAAAAACCGGATTCTAAAGTATATCCAGAAGAATGGGTGAATAAGTGGAAATAACTGTTGCTAAAATAACAAAATAAGAAATGACATATATAAATTATATAAATATGGGTTGTTGCTAAAGTAATCCTAATGGTATCTAAGTTTTAAGACTTCTTAGATTTTAATTCAGCTAGTGAAATGGGCAAAGAGCTAACTGATTTACACTTAGCTGAATACGAACCTAACATTATAAGTTTAGAAAAGAAAACCAAGACTCCTGACTAAATCATACCAGTTGAGCCAGAAAGAGTTTTAAAAAAAGAATCAAGTTACCAAAAGGATACAAAAAGTGAAAAATAAGAAGAAGAATCTAAACGTATTACTGAATAACCTAGTGATATTAAATGGAGCATTAAACAAAGCATGTTTGTCAAAATAAATTCTCATAAAAATGTTGGCGAATACTATACAATCAAAGAATTAATAGGATAGGGTGGCTTTGGAAAGGTTTACAAAGTTAATCATCGATAAACTGGTTACATATTATACTCATAACAGGCATGGTTAGAGCCATGAAGTAGATACTAAAGCAGCGAATGAAGAAAGAAGACTAGTAAAAACTATTACAAGAAACCCAAATTTTAATGGATATTGATCATCCTAACATAGTTAAGCTATATGAGATGTACCAAGATGATCATTCATATTATCTTATAAGTGAATACTGTGAGGGTTAAACATTATTTATATCTAAGGTGGAGAATTATTTGATAAAATTAAAATTGCTTAAATTCTGACTGAAAAAGAAATTGCCACTTACTTAAAGCAAATTCTTTCTGCTGTCTCTTATTGCCATTCCATGAATATTGTACATAGAGATCTAAAACCGGAGAATATAGTCTTTGATGCTAAACATATGGGAGCAAATCTAAAAATTATAGATTTTGGAGCCAGTGTCAAAATAGAAAACTCAGAAAAATTAAGCAAAAAAATAGGAACTGTATTGATTTAATATAATAAAATAGCCTTTCTATGTTGCACCAGAAGTTTTATCTGGCTCTTATGATGAAAAATGTGATATTTGGTCAATAGGTGTGATATTATATGTTCTTTTATGTGGATATCCTCCATTTTTTGGTTAAAATGAAGCATAAGTTCTTTCAAAAGTAAAAAAAGGAACTTATTAATTTGATTCTTAAGATTGGGCTAAAGTTTCATTATAAGCAAAAGATTTAATAAGAAGAATGTTATTTTACAATCCATCTTAAAGAATAAGTGCTAGTGATGCTTTATAACATTAATGGATCACAAATAATAAATCAAAAGGGTAATTGAATAATTAAAGTTTAAAAAAATTACAAGATTTTGATTCAAAAAATAAACTTAAATATGCAATACTTTAGTTTATAACAGTATAAGTAATAACAAGCTAAGAGAAAGATGAATTGATGAAAAACTTTTAAGAAATAGATAAAAATGGAGATGGTACAGTAAGTAAGGATGAATTATTAAATGGTATGATTTAAGACTATTTAGCTTATATTAAATTATATAAAGGTGATTAATTAGCAGCCTAAGCAATTGTAGAAGACTTATTTCCTCATTTAGATGCTAATGGATCAGGTAAAGTTGATTTTAGTGAGTTTATAACAGCTTCAATAAATAAAGATAGATCTTTAAGTAAAAAGAAAATTGAATAATCATTTAAATTATTTGATTTAGTAAATAAAAAATATAAAATTAGGATGGAAATGGATTTATAACAAAAACAGAAATAAATTAATTATTTGGGGATGAAATAGATGAAAATATGTGGAAGGAAATATTAAAAGAATGTGATGCAAATGAAGATGGAATGGTAAATATTAAATTAATATTTAAGATATCATTAGGAGAATTTATAAATTTATTAGAGAGTAAATTTAAAGGAAAACTTTGATAATAAATAATATTGTATTTAATTTTTATGTTAATTGAATTAATAAAGTAATTAGAAGTAATTTATAAAGATTGAAAGTAATAATTATAATAAATTTATTTATTGTTGTAATTAATAGGACATATTGAATGAATTTTATTTAGAAATATTCAGAATTATAAAATTCTTTGGAACTCTTGAATAGTGAACCTAAATAGTTGAATTCAAATGATGTTTATGAATATGTTGCAATGAATATTTCTCCAGATTTTGAATGGTTGGCAGTAGGTGGACTGTATATTGATAATATCGTTCTATGGAAGATATCTTCTTAAACTCAAACAAAAGTAATAGGAACATAGATGAATGAAGATTTAGGATAATTAGAATTTTCAAAAGATTCTATTTATTTAGCTGCTTGTGGATCTAGTATAAAAATAATTATTTGGAAAATGAAAGAATTAGATGGAAATCCTATTATTTTAGATGGACATTAATCAAGAATTTGGAGAATTCAATTTTTTAATAAACCTCTAATTGATATTTTATGTTCTGGAAGTTCTGACTCCTCTGTGAAGATATGGAATGTTACATAGAAATAATTATTGTAAACTTTTAATATCAATGAAGATAATTCGATATTTAGTGTTGGAATTTCAATTAATAATAAATGGATTCTAATAGTTGGCAATGATTCAAAAACTTTGATTTTAGATAGCAAAAGATTAAAATTGATTTCTTAATCAAAAATTTGTGAAAATTAATTATATTTTATTGGATTTCCTTAACATACATGTTAATATTATGCTTGTTCTGGTATGGATGAGTATGTTAGACTATTAACAAAAAATAAATTAATTAGAAAAATACATTTTCCAGAGAATTGGAAATGGTAAATTGAATTTACATGTTAATCAATCTTAGTAGTATCAAGTATAAATTCCATTTTGTTTTGGGATATAAGTAGAGGAATTCAAATAAAAGTGTTACAAAACATTTTTTATACTTATCCTTCATTTCAATTTAAGTATTTGGAATAAGGATTGTGTGCAACAGCAAGCAAATTTATGATAAAATTGTGGATAAAGTGATTATATTATTTATATCACTAAAATCAAAATTAATAAGGTTTTGTTCTTTCTTATATTTATAATAATCTAACTCTCTTTTATTAAGCTTAATTCTTTATATATATAATAATAATATATTAATTGGTTTCAGGAATGTTTATTTAAGAAAATAGTTCAATTTTAGCAAATCTTAAGTTATGTAAAAATGTATTTATATGATGAGAAGATAAACAGATATTGGAGCATCTACAAATGAAAATATAATAAATTAGATAGCTAAAGGATTTTCAATTTTATAATAAAAGGTTGATTACGCTCGTCAAGGATATTATACAAGAATTTGCAATTATTTTGAAACATCAAAAATAAAGGTTCTTGAATAACTTAGTCTATTGAATTTATTAAATAATGCTGAATAGTTTGTTGAGGAAATGTAATTGCCTGAATTAAAAGAAGCAAATTTATCAGATATTATAAATTAAGCGATTTGGTTTATGGAATTGCATTTTTTAGTGAATTATTGGATTTTTTAAGAATAGATGGAAAGGGTAGATAATAATAAATACAATTCGAAGATAAATTTTATCAACAGTAATATCATAAGAAACTTCAGTTCCAATAAATGCATTAGGAGAAGGAGCATCTTTAATTTATTAAAAGTTTATTTGATTTATATACAAATTATAAAATTTGAACGTGTATGTGGATAAATTTACTATAATACTATAATTAATATATATATCACTGCCCTTCAGTTGGAGTTTCTGCACCTCCTGATCTTAATTTACTGAATATATGTAAAAGCACAACAATCCCCAAATATACAAGACTTATTATTAGTACAGTATTAGGTTAAACTTTTAGAGATGAAACATCACCTGAATAGAAATTTAATCCTGATTATCCTCCTGTTTCGGATGTTTTAGATGCTATATTTTATTTAATTAATTATCTTACGACTCTTGCCACCTCCTTATCTCCTTTTTATTGCTTCTTTTATTAAATCTTTTTTCTCAGACATTTTTTTATTTTATTAATATGAATAAGATGCACGTTGTTTAATTAATAAATGTATTAAAAATCATCATTAAAAAAACAGAATAATGATATACCTGTATGTATAAAATATATTTAATAGGATCATTATCATTTAGATGAAAATTAAGAACAAGACTTTAATTCTGTTTGTGGTTATAATTCATATGGAGTATTTTATAAATATCAAAATTTAGATTCCTTAATATCATTAGTTACCAATTAATGTTTACATGATTCTACCTTAAACTTATTAAGAAAATTATGATACCAATATTTAATATTTGTAATATTAACCTTAACCATAAACTCCTATTAGATGTGATTATTAACCTTTAAAATCAATCAAAGTTAAAAAATAATATAAAAGTAATTTATCATCTATCCCATTTTAGGAAAATAAACATAAAATAATATTACTTAATCATAATAATCAGTATAATAATAATTTTAAAGAACAGATGAATCAGAACATGAAATATGGCCTTAAGCTAATTTCGAAATAGATTAAAATGAAAATGAAAAAAAATTATTATTCTAATAAACTCTTACTGGCTTTGTCTTAAAATTATTTGAAGCTCATTAAAATGCTACTCTAAGTGAAAGATATATTGTTGAATAAGTTCGTTCAAATTTATGCAAATTAAAAAGATTAGATGGTAGTAAATATAAAGGAAATTTATATAAAACAGTCAAAGGAAGTCTTACTTCTAATGGAATTTTTAAAGTTGATTAAAAAAAAGAAAATGAATCTTATTGGATTGTTTGTTAATCAGCAGCAGATGAATTCCAAAAAAGAACAATCGAAAGAATTCAAACTGCAGATAAAAAGAAAGCATAAAAAAAAATTAAATTATAAGACGATTCCTTATAAAATAAAGAAATTTAAGAATATATAAAATATGATTATGCACATGCATATGGATTATTAAATGGATTCTTAGAAACTCAACCAAATCTCAAAAATTTTATTGAATAAATAGATCTAAATGATTTAGAAAGAAATAGAAATCTTAGAAATTATAATTCAGATCTAGTATAAGTAGGTATTAAAGAATGCTAAGAATTTTTTGATGAATTGATTAAAAAATTAAAAAATGAAATTATATAAAACTGATAATAATAGTCATTTTTTTATTGATATTTTATGAATACCTTTAGTGAGATCTTAATGAAAAAATTTTGGTGTCTGCTTTTTATCTCTAGATGCCTTTTTTTGATTTTCAAATATATTACTTTGAAACGTCTGTATATAATTGATATCATCAATTTCTATTAACTTATAATCATCTGCAAGAAGATCTTCTAACATATCATTATAAACATTCTTTGGATTCTATTATTTTAGTTCAAGGTTATGTTAGTTTGAAATTTCATTTTGATGTAGATCACTTTAAACATAAGTAATTTCAGGTTATTATTGGATTGTATGATTGAATAGATTTTAAACTTAAGAAAAATTAGGTAATTCATTAACCAAAGGATTTTAAATAATTCTTGGATTGTATTCCTCTTCTATTGAGAAATTAGTTCCTCTTTTAGAGAAGTTTGAAATTGCATAGACATCTTAGCTGTTTTCCAAAGTTGAGTAAAAATCATCAATTTCTTGATGTTTAGATTGACATTTGCGTTAAAGAGGTTTAAGAATTTTCCTAAGGCTATTTTCTATCACCTGTTTTTATTATAATTAAAAGGTTTCCTCTTACATTTAAAATATTACTAATCTAAATATTTAGTTTTTTATATAAAAATTATGTTAATTGAGAATATTAAATGTAGTAATAATCATAAAACAGGTATATTTTTTAAGCTTTTAGAAAATCTCTTAACAGCCTTAAGTACTAAAATGGCTGTTTTAATCTAGATTATTATGAATATATATACTCTGGTAGGTTTACGAATATAATTGAGCATTTTTTTTGTTCTTCTATCTAATCTTGAGATGCGTTATTCTTCGTAAGTTATATGATTTCTATTTTATGTTTTACTAAAGAAATTAGAGATTTAAAAAGTTTCTAAGTCGTAAGAATAATATTAAGCATAAGCAATTAGTTCTTCTTCTCCAAAATTTTAAGAATTTAGTGAAACATCAGTCATAATTTTTGCTTTCTATTTTTAATATTATGGTATAATTTTAGAAATATTACTTTCTGGATAATAGATATGATATTCATGATATTTTTCAAAATTAGGTATAGATGAGAATTCTTTCCATTCTTTTTTACGTGACATAGAAATTTTTTTATGGAAATCTTCTAAATATTGATTTATTCTTTCTAAAGCAACTCTATCAATTTAATCATCATCAGAGCCACATGAAATAGTTAATTTACCCTAAGGATCACGTCGGATGATAGTTGTAACTCTTTTATGTTTTCTAGTTCTTCGACCATTATATTAAGTTGAATGAGCAGTATTATCAAATTTACGATGTTTTAATCTTACTGATGATTTAAATCTACGATCAAAATTATCTAATTTATTAATTTAATTGATTGGATTTTCATCATCTTCTTCAGTTTAAATACTTTAGACTTCTAATTATTCAACACTAAGTATTAAATGAGACTTATGTTCTTAATAATAATGAATCTTCTTTTCTGTATGTATAAATTTACTTTAAGTATTAGATACAAGATTATTATGAAATCTTGCGTTAAAATCCATTCGATCTTTTCTAACAAATGAAGATTATTAAACATGTTTTACTTATTATAAGAAGGCTAAATAATGGGATGCCTATCTAATATCAATCACATAATTTACACTTAGAAGTGCAATGATGGACAATCTCTGGCTATATGATCATCCATCTAACACATATAACATCTAATACTTATGGCACTATAATCTTTATCAAATACTATTTTATGTCTTATTTTAAAATAAGTTTAAACTTCATTACTATTAGATCTAGCTAAATTCAAAAAGTTAATTGAATTAATAATAAATATGTTTGAAAAATCTACACTTTTAGCACTTGCTGTTCTTTTCTAACCTGAATAAAAACTGATTTCTCCAAAGAATTCATTTTTACCTTTTTTATCAACAGTAATATTAGTTTTCTAAAAATATATATCTACTTCTCCAGATTAAATCATAAATATATCATAATTATCTTATTCATTCTCATCAAATATAATTTCTTATGGACAAAATACTTTTTCTCTCATTATTGGCATTATTTAAATCACTAAAAAATCATATTAATGGTTTGACCAAAATATATCTAAATAACCAAACAATTTCCCATTAACTTATTCTTATAATTCTTTAGATAAATCAACTGATAATGCTCCTGTTATTTATTATAATACAACTCCTCCATTTCTTTCCCAAACATATTCTAAATATTTTCTTATCTTATTTTATAGAGTTTCAGGAATTCTAGCTTTCTTCATATATTTATTTACTTAACTCAATTTATCTTTAGTTTAACTTTATTTCTCACTTATTTTTTATAATGCAAATCCAATTGAATTCATTGTAAATGCAAAACCACCACATGCAATTAATAATAAAAAAATACCCAACATTCTTTCAGCCGGATTTAATGGACTTATATCACCATATCCTACTGTTGTCATTGTTGTAACTCCCCAATATAATGCATTTATATATCTTATATACCAATTAGCATCATATAAATCACCTAACCATGAATTATTCTTATCTTCTTATTATGCTGTAAAATGAAATATACATCCTAAAAGATGTGCAAAAAATAACACAAATAAAAATAACTTTGAAAATGTTAATATTGCTGCCAAAATTGAATTCAATTACAATATTTCATTAAATTTGTCAATTATCTTCTTTAATTTTGCTAATCTTAATAATTTTAAAATCTTTATAAATCTTAAAAATTTTAATAATCTTAATAATTTTGCACTCTATATATAATTTGAAGATTCATCCAGTATTATATCATATGGAAATGTTGTTGTAAAATCAACCCAAAACCAAAATTATAAATAATCCCTTATTATTACATTTCTATTCAACTTTAATAAACCATCTTCAAATATTCCTGTATTAAAATTCAATAAAATATCAAATGCAAATATTCCTGTAGACACTCTTGAAAATTCTACACTCACATCAATCTCAAAACTTATTTATAATGGAATGCTTATCATTTCATACATCACTAATCCAAGACACAATAAATCCCACATCATCTTCAATGACCCATCTGGACTTAAAATATATGGTTTTTCTATAGTACATCCTTTTATCATCTTTTTCAATATTCCTCTTATACGCAATTATATTTTAACCCAATTAAATTCTACATAAGACATTGCACTTGATCTTTTCTAAACCAAAATTAATCCCATACTCTTTCTCCAATTCAATTTTTTTCTTGTCTTCTACAAAACCTTAAATTATTTCTTCTAATGTTTTATCTCCTCTTCATCTGAGTTCTCACTCAATACCAACTTATCACCTAAAAAATGATATTCCTTCCCTTCCAATATCGAAAAACTCTTATTCTGAACCTACTCTATGTACTATTTATGAAACATTAGTATTTGATTTATTATTTTATATATATTATACATTACAGCTATTTTCAACTATATACCTTTTCCATACTACAAAATTATTTGATGCTTCATTTATTTAAAAATAAACCAAATCATATTAATTATTTAAAATTTCATATGTACTTGAATAACATAATTATTTTTTCATTTAATCAATCAATATTCACTCTTATTGATACTAATTCCCTTTATTAAAGCACTAAAACTATTGGTAATTATTTAATGCTTGTTGATTCATTTAATCTTACAATTAATATTATTATGAGAAAGAAAACTACTCCTAATTCAAAGAGAATTACTAAAATTAAGGAGAAATTATCTATTATTATTATTAATACATTATCATATTTTATTATAAAAGCATCGCTTAATATTATTATTATTGCAACTCCGTTGGAGATTGATAATAATTTAATTAATATTATTATAGAACTTAATGTTATAATGCCATCATCTAATATTATTACAAATACTATTAATATTGATATTAATTTTGCTAAATTTTCTATTATTTCTCAAATACTTATTAAATCTATTTATTTTTTTCTTACAATTTAGTAGTTTTACTATTTTCAATTTAATTAACTTTTTAAGCAAATCTTTTAACATTATAATTTGATAGAGCAAATTTTAATACAATCTAACCATGATGATTGAGAAAATGACTATCATGTAATCTGTTCAATAATGCAATAAATTCATTTCTATATTCAATTGTTAAATTTTCATAAAGTCTTTAGATTGGATAATTAGCAAACTAATCATTTACTAATTTTCTAAATGAACTATTATTATTATTATTTATAATTATTACCATTCTGAAACTGATACTTCTTCTTCCCATAATTTCTATCTCCATTAAGGATATGCATAAACTATTGCTTTTTCTGCCACATTACTACCATATTTATCAAGAGACATCGAGACAAAATCTTTAATTAAATAATTATCCAACAGAACTCTTTTATGATTCTCTTAACCTTTTTCCAATAATTATTAGATTATATAATTAGCATATTATCTTCTTATCAAACAAGATGAATTCCTTATTGTTCTCATTATTATTTCATTTGCTGTTGATTTCGTTTTCGGATCAAGAAGCTTTGGATAAATATCAATAATTTTATTAACAATCAGACAGCCATATTGATCAGTTGATAATTCTAAAGAAAATTAATTATGATTTAAAATCTACTATTATATTTAATAATTTACATATTTATCAAAGATTTACAAAAGTGATTCTAAATTTTTCTCTTCAAATACTTCTAAAGATTTTGTATAAATTTAGTTTCCGATTTTATCAGTATAGAGTTTTCTAGTAAAATCGGAATCTTCTAAAATAAATTCAATATAGTTTTAATATTGAGAAATAGATTCCTAAGGAGATAAGGACATAATTTCTAATCCCTTCTACATGACTTTACAAGCATGAAGATCAGAGATTAATTTTTTAATGGAATGAAAAATTTAATCTAATATAATATTTCTATAACTTGATGGTCCTAATATATTTAATATGAAATACCAATTTCTATAATTTTTTCCAGTATGTAATGCATATATTTATCTAAACAAAGTATAACTATATTGTTTTTAATATAAGTGTTAAAAACAAATCCTCTTTCTGTATTATTGGCTTATTCATACTCTTATTACATTTTTCTGGAATTTTTAGTTAGTTTTTCATGGCTCAAATATGAAGACCTAAGTAATTTAAATTTGGTAACGTATACATATCAGCAGAGAAAGCTTGGATTAATGAAGGGCGATAATTGTCAGTTAGCAAAACATCTTTTAGTTATTAATTCAAAGAATCAAATTCATCATCTTATATAATATGGATATATTACCATCTTGATTTAGATGATCTTCAAATAGCTAAGAACAGAGAATTTTAGATGTATTAGAGTTATCAAATATACCAGGTGTAGCTGTAGAATCACTTTTACTTGGATTGCATTAATGAAATTCATCTTAATCTGAATTTAATTCAATTGGGATTTGATTTGACACATTTTTATTTAACATTTAATTAATAATGAAAAAAGCATCATCTTATTTTAGAATTAATTGAAACGATATTTAAAAAACATTTCATATTCTTAAATCTAATTTTAAATTGCTCTTTTAAGCATTACGCATCATTCATATATTACAATATCTATTTTCACACTTTAATAGTTTAATAAATAATTAATAATGAATCTTGAGCAGTTTATATCGACTGAAGATGATTGGGGTCATTAATCTTATTAAGAAATTGATGACTTTGAATTTTCTTGTTCACCAATCATGTTTGGTCGTCCATCTAATAAAAACAAAAATAATGTTGAATTAGACAAAGAAGATTATTTTATAGATGCTCAAAAATTAGAAGAATAAACAGATTTACCAGATGAGAATCAATTTATGAATTAATTATAGATTCCATTAAAAAAGAGGTAAATTAGAAAGAATCGAAAACTTAAAAATAATTCAATCACTACTTTATACAAAAGAATGTTCTCCTAGATAATTAATGACTCATAATCCTAAGCTGAAATTCAAAAGCAATTAGAACATTGCTAAAAAATGAAATCTGTTATTGATGGATTAGAAAAAACATTAATTAATGTGAAAACCTTGCTTGTTCACAAACTTAAATAGAGAAATCATTGATTTTGTTTAAATTCCCTAGTTTCAATCTGAGTTATGAATTAACTAAATATCAAATAAAATATAATAATCTTTCTATCATTTAACTCATTTATGAATGAAATATAAAAAAACTTTGGTTTTCAAACGAAATATTACTATTCTCTGTTACTTGAATCTGATTTTTTATAATTTTAGATATCTTTTGAATCATTCAATTTAGTTAGTCGTTATTCATTGATATTTTAAATAAAAAAATACAATAGATAATAAAAAATAGAATAAGAATATGAGTATATAAAAATAATAAGTAATGATGTATAGATTATGATGATTATAATTGACATTAATTAAAATGTTGTTTATAATGTAATTATACAAAAATATTAAAGTAAGAAAATTAATTCATTAATAATTAAAAGAATTTAGAAACCATCCATCTGGAATAAGTTGACAATCTAAATCTTCTATGTAATTGATTAATTTTCCATCTTGCCACTCTCCAAATTTTTTAATACCATTTTCATTTATAATGATTCCTTTCCCATGTTATTTACCATCTTACCAATAACCTTAAAATTATCTACCATCAGGCCAATAAAATATTCCAAAGCCAGATTTTCTATCATTTTGATATTATCCATCATAATATTTTCCATCTTTCCATTTATAACAACCTCTTCCATGCATTTAATTTTTAAGCCATTATCCATAATAAGACTGTTAGCTAATAAAATTGTAAAATTACTCTACCATCCAACCATTAATATTTTCCAATTCCTTAAATCATATTATCTTTCCATTGTCCTTCATAATTACTTTATTAATTCCATATGTAAGTACCATAACCATTCTTTTTCCCATTTTAGAATTCTCCTTCATAATTAGATCCATCTGGCCATAGTTCTTTTCCATTACCATCAGGTTTACCAGCTTTAAATTATCCTGTATATATTGGTCCTCTTTTAAAGAGGCATTATCCATTACCTTCTAAAAGATTATCAATAAAATTGCCTTCATAAATATCGCCATTAAAAGTAATTAATTTACCATAACCATTAGCTTTACCATTCTATATAACACCTATATAGGTTGAACCATCATTTAGATTCAATTAAAGATTATTATTATTATTATCGATGTCATCTTTTCCTTATTACTATGAAGATAAGGAATTATATTATTCTTTATAAAAAGTAGTTGAATTAGACTTGCTATCAAGAGAAGGTGGTTTTTCTACAAAAATAATTAGGCTTTAATACATGGTTATTTTTCATCGACTTCATCATATTCTGGATCTGAATCAGATTAATCATTTCTATTTAAGTCATGACTTAATGCTTAATTTAATTAACATTTTTAACATTGTTATCCCATTTTAAATAATGTTCTAATTCTTAAAGGAATAGATTTACGTAATTTATAATAATTAAATGGGTAATGGAAGTACTTGTTGTTCACATCCTATAATACAAAATAATTAAGCATTAATACCAAATTAGAAGAATATGTTAATGAATGAAGACTGTGATGTTCATGAATGGGAAGCAGATGATATCGTAAAGATTGGTGTTTGTAAATAAATTAAATATATATTGTATAAGAGAATCATCCAGTAAAAGAACATAAACTTTTTGAATAGGTATCAATTATAAGAAGAATGGAAAGTGTAGAAGCACCAAAATTAGGATTAAGATTAGAAACATTTCCTGAGATTGAAAATTAAATAGTTAGAACTGTTTTAAGTTAATTGCCATAAATAATAGTACCAGGAGATATGGAAAGAGGTGAAGAGAATCCACCTATTAAATTTGATAATAATTTTATTTATCATGGAGAATGGAAAGATAGTCAAAAATATGGATATGGAAAATTATTATGGCCAGATGGAAGTTATTATGAAGGAGGATTTGCAAATGATGAATCATCTGGTTATGGAAGATTAATTCATTCATTTGGAGATTATTATGAAGGAAATTGGAAACATGATTAAGCTAATGGTTATGGAAAATATCATAGATATAGAAATTAAGCAACATATGAAGGAAATTGGGTTAATGATAAATAATAAGGATAAGGAAAAGAAACATGGTAAGATGGATCATCTTATGAAGGAGAATATTTTAATGGAAAAAAATAAGGAAGAGGTATGTTTAAATGGGGAAATGGAAATATGTATATTGGAGATTTTAAAAATAATAAAATGGATGGACATGGCGTTTATTATTGGAAGAGTGGAAAAGTATATGATGGGGAATGGAAAGAAAATAGAATGGATGGAGAAGGAGTAAAATTTATATTATTTATATATCTTATAGTCATTCAATTGGCCAGATGGTAGAAAATACAAGGGAGGATATAAGAATGATCTTAAAGAAGGATATGGAGTATTTGAATGGTCAGATGGACGTTATTACAAAGGGGAATGGAAATAAGGAAAACAACATGGCAAAGGAGTACTGAGAATGGATCAAACTAAAGAAATTACTGCTGAATGGCTCAATGGCAAAATGCTTACTGATAAATAAATTGAACAGTAAGCTACAGGATCATGATACTTTTTATATATATAATCAAAGGAATTTAAATATTTCTAAATTCTTAATTTTTATTTTTCCAAAATTTAAAAGTTTTTCAATAACTTTATTATTCAATCTTTCTAATTATCTCATTTATAAAATAATACATCAATAATCATTCAATAATCAATCTCCTATGAATTAATTTTTAAGATTTTCTTGTTCTTCAACAATTTATATACTAAATTATTATTTCCCCATTTCCTAATTTGATTTATAAAAACTTGATCTTAGTAATTTATTATCAAATATGACAATCTATAATAAATAAACTAAATTAACTATAGAATACTCAAATATGTTTAATATCTATCTTGTACTTATTTAGAAACTAAAAAAACAAACAAAGGAACTAATATTATTAATACAATTATTTGTTCAATATTTCATTTTTCTTATGATTTATAAACAATTAAAAAATAGTTCTATTTCCATTATTTCATTGATAATTATTTTATATAAATTATTAATAAACTTAAAAATGAAATTTTTTATGTATTTGGATGAATATCAATGAATAATTTCGGTTTTATTCTAAAAAATAATTGAATCGAGTTATCAATAAGGAGAGTAATTTGATGAAGATAATTAAATGAATAGTTTAAACATTAATTTATAGAACATCTGATGCTAACTATGTTTTGATTCATTAAGTAAAAAATAGTATCAGGGTAATTCTATTTAAAATTAATAAATGTTAGGTTTGAGTAGGTGATACTCAATACAAATAAAATTAATTAAAGTAAAATTAATGTAAGAAAGAAGAGAGTTTCTGGATTTTACAATATAGATCAAAGTATTTGAAACATTTACCTAACTTCAATTCTAACTTCATTAAACTAAGCCATCCTCACATATATCTAACTTTAAATTATTGCTAGATTAATTAGTATTACTAAAAATAT